TCCGGAAGAGCCTTGGAATACAGCCTTTGCTTCTCCAGATTGAGAAGTCACAGCTGCGTTGGCTTGGGCATGTGTTGCGAATGCCTCCGGAAAGGCAATCTAAGTAAGTGTTCCTTACAAATCCGACTGGCAAAAGGCCCAGGGGACGGCTAAGATTAACCTGGTGCAAACATATGGAAGGAATGTGTTCCAGACTGCAATTGTCTTTTGCCGAAGCTCAGACTCTGGCACGGGATCGGGAACGTTGGAAGCACATTCTGGCGCGTCTCCCTCCGCGACCCGAAAGAAGAAGCGGCGATGGAAGATGATGATGATGAAGGCGTTTAAAGTCTATTTCATTTTGATCAATTTCTGGAAACTGATCGTATTTTCAATGAAACATTTCATTGAGTCTCCTAGCGGTTTTAATAAGTTTCTTGATCTGATTCGGCTACTGAAAACATCAAGGTCACGCATTCGTTTCTCGAAAACTGCTATTCATCTAATTTTATCTTCTTTATTCGTTATGGCAACTAAGAGGAGCTGGCCATTCCATGAATTTTTTTATCGAAACCTTATTTTTATAGACAAATAAATACTAAGCAATCATTGAGTTTCATTGCTTGGTTGAGCATAGCTGAGAACTTTATGTGAAATTTTGTCACGTCTTTGCAGGAATTTGTCGTATGTAAATATTTCATAAAAACATTTTAGTCGCTGTTCAAATACATTTGTTTTCTGCTATTTTATGTGAATATTTTTGAAAATAAATTATGTATTTTAAGTAGAAACAAGGAAGTTTGACAAAATGGATTCCTATGGCAAAGGCTTCATTATAATGTTTGGATAAAATTCAATCATTTATGCATAAACTTACGTACGCTTCCGTTATTGTATTAGCTGTCTGCGTAATCTTTTGTAACTTAAAGATCATTTTAATGGTATGAATTTTCCTCCTGATTCACAAATAATGTTAGTGAGGTTTTCGCGGTTTGTGGTGTTGATATTTTCTTATTACTGTTAATTTTTTTGGTCAAGCAGAGAAATGAGTAGAAGAGCTAGCGCATTCTGATGCACTTTGTCATTGTCTGTTGCATTTGTGACTGTGTGTATTGTGGTTTTTAGATAATGTTGTTGTGATTGTTATTACAGTTTTCTGCTAGCTTTTATCACTTGAGATTGTCAATTAATAAATGGGCAGAATCTGTTGAAAGAATGGCCTATTTAGATATTTAGATTAGATCTAGTGTTGTCGCGTACGCTCGTCTACATCCGTTGTCGGTTCTAAGTCTTGCATTGGACAAAACTATATCTGGTCAAATTGCAGTCAAATCCTGTAAAGAATTTTCTTCGATTCCAAGCTCATTTTTATGTTCAGAATCAAAGAGCTTTCAAATGACATTTTCCATGAGATTATTTTTTTATGGAAGTTCATGTCTGCACATGTTTTTACCTGTCTGTCTTCTCGCCATTGTGTTTATTCCTCATATTTTTAACCGAAATAGACTCATTATGGCATTTATTTGGCTCTTTGGTCTGAATTATTAATCTAAGTAATTCTCTGGAATAAAAAACAGTACGGCGTAGTGTGCTGATTCAGTTTTTCTAAACGACAGTGATAGGCAAATGAGAAATTTTTATTCTATTATTAATTTTACCTGCCAACATTTCCATCATAATAAGTACTTTCACAGTTGTCTCTCCTTTGTGTCTAAAGCCATCTACTGAAATGGTTGGTTACTGAAGAATTCGTAGAATTGTAATGCTTTGTAAATCATTGCACTATATCATCCAGGACCTGATTTCAGGTCATGTTGCACCACCTCTTTGCCCCTAGTTGTCTTGGAGAGGGAATTAAACCACGTCACTTCTCCGTCCTGTTTGAACACCTGCAGTGGCAGATGCAAGAGTTGCAAGATTGTTCGGGCTGGATTTTTCGATGTTCCCACACGCTGACCACATTTATGCCAGGCCATTTTGCCCTTGGCAGTTTGTATCCAGTTCCCGCTATTTCTTCTACGTACATCCGCTACCTCATCGGAGGTCGCTCGAGTGGTCGTTTTTTCCCTCAGGTACCATTCGGCAATATAGGAGATGCATCGGATCTCATCAAGACGAATGACGTGGTCTGCCCGACGGATCTGGCTCTTTCCCATGGCTCGCACCTTGTCTTGCACGCCACTCATTTTCCAGAGAGTTTTGTTGTTGATACGGTCACGAAGACATTTTGTAACAATCCTTCGTTCCATCGCACTCTTCGTCACAGCCAGCACATTTTTTTTCTTTTCTTGGTGCTCCCCTCCCCCATTTCGCAACCATGTGACATCGCCTTCAACACAACGCTTTGAAGAGGCGAACACAGTTTTTCTGTCTGATACTTTGAGGACATCGATGATACTACAGAATTTGCGCCACCCGGAAGCCCTTCGAAGTATAATCAGCGGTAGGAGATCGTGGCGCATATTCGCTTTTTGGCTCAAGTAGATATCGTTATTGACTTCTTCCAAATCCGCACCGTCTACCTGTAGATTGGCCTTGGGCATGCTGA